TGGAATTATCCCCAAAAGATTTGTTGGAATTGGAAGAATTAAAAATTCCTGCAGGTTAGAGGGGTATTTTAGAAGATTAGAAAAAAATTAATTTTAGGAGAATTTTTATTAAAAACTTATTTTCTGGAGAAATGTGAACGTTTACATTTTGTTCTCTCTCACGAACGTGAACTTACAATTAATATACTTTACAGTGAGAAAAGAAAGGTATAATTTGTTAATTGTAAATGATGATTTAATGTAACCCTATGAATTTTTTAAATTCTGATATCAAAAAATTCTGAAGTGTAAAGCAAAAGAAAAAATGGAGGGCGGAAAAGCCTAAATGAAATATACTTTTGATAAGGGAAAATTAAACTTAAAAGATGGTTTGAGGGAATGGTTGTAAAAGCGAAAATATTAAAACATGTGTTGAGGGAAATGTTTGAATAAAAGGGCAAAACATTAAAAAAAATTAAATATTATATAATACATTCAAGCATATTCATCAGATTCTGATTTAGCTTTCTAAAGTAGTTCTGATTTTTGTAATTCTGATTTATAAAAGATAAAAGAAAATGACCGTTTAGGTATAATTATTTCTCTTACCATCTTTTCCGGAAAATATTTTCAGAATTATTTCTAAAATAATTAATTATCTTTTCCGGAAAATACAAATTAAATTCTTGTATTTTAATCTTTATTTTTAACAGACTATCAGACGCGAACAAATAACAAAACTTTTCAAACTCGAAGAAGTAGACGATTTATGCGAAGTTTATGCTGGGTGTGAAAGGCCGGGACTGCCCGGAATTGATTTTTGGAATTGGGTAAATATTGGAAATTTTTCCAAATTTTTTTCTAATCTTTAGATTGTTCCAAAAACCGGATTTTTTCATTTAATTTTTGGAAATGAAAAAGCTTGGATTTTACCAGTCACATTAAAATTTCAAATATTTCGTAAACAAGACGAAAAAAGATATCAACAAACAAATAGTCTACAACCAATTCCTGAAGAATGTTTGGGGAATGAATTTTTAGAAAATAAAAATGAAAATAATGAAATAAAAAATTAATTAAAGTTTTCCGGAAATTATTTTTGAAATTGTGTTTTCTGCAAATTGTTTTTGAAATTGGCTTTTTTCCGGAAATGTTTCCACATTTTCTAGAATATTTTTTAGTTAAATGTTTATGATAAATTGCAAAACATTAACAAAAACACATTCCTGAAAACAATTTCCAATTTGTATCTTAATTAATTAATTAACATTTTTGAAAAAAATTGAAGTGTTCGTATACTCAATCCTTTTTTCTATTTCAAAGTTAAAAATTTTTCTTCAACTTCACTCAATCCCTCTAAATCCCTGATTTATCTTTCGAAGCACAAAGTCCGCGTCTTGCGTTTTTATGTAAGCGTGGTGTAAATAAATAAAGTTGTAGCTCATATTCGGATTCAGCATATTCGAACCTCAAAAATATCGAAAAATTGCTTGTTCATATTTTTTCTAGGGAATGGAAAAATGAGAAAATATACGGGAAACAAATCTTGACTTTTAACAAATATTTTTAATTTAATTAACTTAATTAAAGACTAAAAACATTTTATTTTTTTGCTTGGCTTGCTTTTCAATTGGATTTTTTGGCCTACAACCTTCTCTCTCTCCGTTTACATTTTTACTAGTTTGCTTACTTTTTCCATTACTAACAAAGTAGTAGTTCCAAAAAAATAATTTATATATTTTTCTTTAACTAGCTTTTATAATTAAAAAAAAGTTTCAATTCCCCCCAGTTTTGAATAAATAAATTAAATTATTATTTGAATTTATTAACTTAAAAAATTTTAAAACATGGCTGAAGAAGGATTATCATCAAATTCTGACTGGATTCTGTTTGAAAAAGAGAAAAATGATTTAATTAACCTTCAAACTAATTTTAATAATCTTCAATAAAATTTATTGAAGAGAAGGAAAAGAATTTAAATTTAGAAAAGAAAATTTTTTTTCTTGAAAATGAATTGAGAGTTTGGATATTTTTATTAAATATTTTTTAACATAATTTTAGAAAATTCAAAATATAAATTTTGATAATGAAAATGAAATTGAAAAAATGAAACAACATTTTCAAAAATTAATTGAAGAAAATGAAAAACAATTAAAACATGAAAACGATGAAAAGATGAAAAGTGAAATTAAAAAGGTAGAAAAGGCCACGAGAAGGGGGGGGGGGTCTTCCAAAATTTTCAAAAATTTCGCCTGCGTCGCGGAAAATGAAAGTATTAACCGGGAGGACCGGTTAATAACCGGCTTTGCTCTACGTAACAATGAGAAGGAACTAAATAAAATAAAGAATTAATTAATTTCCCTAATTATTTTAGTGCCTTTATTGTGAAAAACCTTATGTTTCAATGCCGGCATTTGCAATGCATTTATTAACACACCAAGCTAAACATAAATGTCCAATTTGCGGAAAATTTTATCCTCGTCTATGGCTACTTAAAGGACATTTACGTAGACATACTGGACAGGTTTTTTAATTTACAAAATAAATTCTATATTTTTTAAAAGAAACCATTTGGTTGTGGGCAGGCATTTTCTGACAGATCTAATCTTAGAGCACATTTAAATAAACATAATGGTAAATTAGATTTTGAAATTTTGAAATATTTTTACAATTAAAAGCTAAAAAACGTTGGAGTTGTGCTTGGATTTGGCTTAAAAAGTTATTTAAATAAGCATCTCGAACAACAACATGGAGATTCTAATTTAGTAAATAATGAAGAAGAGGAGAAGGAAATTGGAAATAATTATTTTTTTTAATTAACAATAATTCTTTAACAATAACAACACAAACTAAAGACGATTTTACTTCTTTTTGTGAAAATTAATTAAAATAAAAAATATTCTTTTATTTTACGTGTTTTTAAAAAATTCAAAAATAATTCCGAAAAGAGGGATATTAATTTAAAAAAAATAAATGCAAATTTTAAGGGGAGAAATTTTTCTTTTATTTGACATTCAATCGACAAAAGTTTTATAAATTTTAACCCCAAACTTGTAATCGTATTTAATTTTTCTAAGAAATGTAAAAAATATTTTAAAAGCCACAAGTTTATTCCTTCTCACCCGATTTAACGTTAACGTTAATATTTGATCAAATTTTATTTGATCTACTATTTCAATCTCCTTATTCTCGTAACATTGATCCAAATGTTAATTTAGGAGACTGAAATTTTCTTTACATTTGAATATACGACGGAAATAAAGTGAAGTTGATGGAGGAAATTCCATTTCAGCAAAATTGTAAGAAAAATTGTCCGTAAAAAGTCCGCAGGAAATGTCCGCAGAAAACTTTCAACTAAGAAATACTATTTGAAAAATTCATAACTTTTTTCTGCATTGACAGATTTTAAAGAAATTTGGTATTTAATATCTATATTTTATGGCATTTTTTTTGACATAAAAATTATGTCTAAATTCGAACCCTAACCCGAGATAATTTCGTACTCTACCGTTCTGTTTTTCTCTTTTTCCCCACATGCATTCTTACTTACCTTTATTTGTTGCAAGGGGAGACAGACTTCAGTCTACAAAGCCTTTCATTTCTTACTTGGCTTGCTTTTCGATTGTATTTTTTGACCTACAAACTTACTCTTCTCCATTTTTAATGTCTAGGCTTGCTTTCTATTCATTCACATATGCATTTTGGGAATTATTAAATATTTTTGAGTAGATAAAGGCTTTGTTTATTAAGTTCAGTTTTCTTCACTATTTTTACTTTAATTTAGTCATATCTGCATTAGGAAATCCCCAAACAAAATGGCTGAAGAAGATTCATCAGATTCTGACTGGATTTTGGTTGGAAAAGAGGAAAATGATTTAATTAAACTTCAAACAAATTTTAATAATCTTCAACTAAAATTTATTGAAGAGAAGGAAAAGAATTTAAATTTGGAAAAGAAAAATTTTTTTCTTGAAAATGAATTGAAGGTATTAAACTTTGCAAGTGTAAATTTAAATTTCTTTTGATTTTAGAAAATTCAAAAAATAAATTGTAAACATGAACTTGAAGAAATAAAACGAAATATACAAAAATTAATTGAAAACTTTCAACAATCAGACTCTAAAAATAATGTTTGTTTAAAGTGGGGGTAGCAACCCGACCCCCAAAATCCCAACCCCGACCCCGACACCGAAGACGACATGCCCTCCCCGTCAAACCCCAATCCCTGACAAAGGATCGGGTTGCTACCCAAGTTTAAATGGGTAGCCAATGACCTCTGGGTCTGGAACCATCCTCACCCTTTCCCTCGTAATTTCCGAAAGTTATAGCCAATCTTTTTAAATTTCAGAAAAACGTTTATAACTTTCAGAAATTTCGAGGGATAAGGTAAGGAACGGTCCCAGACTCAGCGGGCGTATGTCCCGAACATGAAAAAATGCTTTGTTTCATACAAAAGTAAATTTTTAATTTTTAGACACAAAGAATTCGAACAGTTTTAAATGAATCACAATTAAGATTATTAAAACATTATTATAGTACAAATCCAAGACCGGATACATTCATTAAAGAACAATTAGTTGAACAAACTGGATTAAGTGCTAGAGTTATTCGAATTTGGTTTCAAAATGAAAGAATTAAAGACAAAAAGTAATTAAATAATTTAGAAAATTATTTATATTACATAATTTATTTTTTTGAAGACAAATTGAACAGCTAGAAAAAATAGAAAGTGTGGAAAAGGTCGGACTGTTTTTTAAATTAATTTGTAAAACAAAAATTTAATTTTTTTATTTGATGCTGTAAATATATTTTCTCTTGTTTTAGCTTTAATTAAATAATATTTTCAAATCTAGAAAAGAAACACCAATACTTTTGATTTGTCGCTTGAAGCATCTGACGGTACAGCACAAAAATTAACTCAAATATGTGAAATTTGCGATTATACTTGCACTGACCTAGATAATTACCTAATCCATTTGCAATCTGTCCACAACCAATTGAAAGGAAAAATAGCCACGGATATGGCACAGGGAGCACCTGTAGCATGTGGTCGTTGTCGAGAACGTTTTTGGACTAATGAAGGTATTGAAATAATCAAAAAAAAATTTGAAAAAAATTCTTTTTATTAAAGGACTTGAGCGCCATATGCTTATGTCTCATCATCTTGTAACTAATGATTTGCTAAAAAAAGCACAAAACAAAAATGATGGCTGTTGCTGCAAATTGTGCGGGAAGGTATTTTTAATTTTAAAAATTATTCTCTCAGAATTTCAAAACTAAATATTTTAGTAAAAATATTTTTTTATAATAAATCCGGAAATAAAATTCTGATTTCTAATTCTGAAATTAATTGTTTTCTTTGTTAAATTTTTTATTAATTTTTAAAATTAATATTAATTAAATAATAAAAAAATATTTTTGTATTAATTAATTAATTTATTTTTTTAAATTTTTTTCCGAAATATTATTTTTAATTAAATTCTCAACATTTTTCTCAGACATATTCATTCAATATTTTACAACATATGAATCTTGAGCATAATGTTAAACTGTGCTCTGCTGAAATAATGTTTGTAAATATTTTTGTTTTTTCATTCAATTTAAATTCTATTTAGGTATTGTTGTGATGTTTGTGCTTTTAAGAGCAATTCATATCAAAAATTGGAGACTCACATTTCTGAACAACATCCAAAAACACGTTAAAAAGGGAAAGGGAAGAAAGAATCTTAGAAAAAGTATGAGAAGTTGGGGAGTATTTTGTTATGTATTTTTTACTTTTTAATTATACTTATGTCATTTAATTAATTCAATTTATTTGTTTTTATTTAATTTAAAAATAAATGTTGTCATTTAAAATAGTTTTTTAAAATTGTTTAAAACTAATAGTTTTTGTTATTTAAAAAATTGTTAAATTAAAAAAATTTATTAAAATTTTTTTAATTAAATTAAATTAATTAAAATTTAACTAATTTTAATTTGTATAATTTTAAATATTTAATTAAAATTTAAAATCTAGAAATTATTAAAAATTAATTTGTTTATATTTTTTCAAATTTATTTTTAATTTAATTCTAAACATTTTAAATTATCCCTCAAAACATTTTTTATTTTTTAAATTTAAAATATTCCCTCAACAAATAAAAATTAATCCTTTTTCCATGTCTTTTTTCTCAACAAATAAATATTCACAAAAAATCTCTGGGCAAAAAATCCTTCAATATATAAATTCTTCAAATTAATTTTTTATTCATTTAGTACCTTTAATAATTTAAACATAAATTTAAATTCTCCCCAAAAATTTAAATTTTCTTTAAGAAAAATTGATTTAATTTTTTCTATAAATTTAATAACTTTAAATTAATTAATCAAAATTCCTTCAAACAAATACGCCATTTTTGTTTGCAATTTTTATTTTATAAAATGCCCTGCTTTTTTTAAATTTAAATTAAAGAAATATTATTATTTCAATATGTATATTGTAACAATTAAAAAGGCTAATTTAATAAGTTTTTCTTTTAATTCTTAATCCAAAAATTATGTTTGACAATTTCTTTAGTCTAAAAGTTTTAGTGATATTTCAAATTAATTTTACAATTTTTGGAGTTTTTGTTTCTCTTCTTTTTACCTTTTTGAATGTTTTGAATTAATTTAATTAAATTAACTTATTATCAAATATTTTCGAGAGAAGCATTTATTGAATATCAACTCTCCAAATTTTGCTGACCTAGAGTCAGAAATTTAATTCAAAAATATTTTTCTAATTTTAAATATAAATTTAAACAATCGAACATTTATTTAATTTTTTGTCCAAATTTTCGGAGAAAAATTTTTGTATTGACCAAAAAATATAAATAAATTTCAGAAGAGTATTTTTAAAAAATTAAATATGGAAACTCCAAAACAATTAAAAGATACTTCATTCTCTACAAACAATTCTGATAATAATGAAACACTTGAAGAATTAGAAAGATTTATGGAAAATAGTAATTTGGAAAAATCTAGAATTAATGGGTTGTCCACTTCTTCTGTTTGGTTTAGTTCTCCAAAAAATAATATAATTGAACAATTAAAACAACGTTTAGAGAAATTGGAGGTTGAAAGTTTATTATTAATTTAATAAAAAAAAACCTTTTACGGCACTCCACCTGTAAAATAAGGTTGGCGGATAGTTGGAAATCTTCGGATATCCGGATCCGGATCCGGTATCCGATCCGAAAATTTCGGATATCCGGATCCGGATCCGGTATCCGAACCGAAAATTTCGGATATCCGGATCCGGAACCGATATCCGAACCGAAATTTTCGGATATCCGGATCCGGAACCGAAATTTTTATTTTAAAAATTTTCGCCTGCGGCGCTGAAAAGTTGAGTCTTATGGAGGATATAAAGGGATTAGGAGCAATTATGATTGGATTTGGGGATTAACAGTGTTATCGAGGGAATTTATGCTTAACAGAGATATCTAGGTGTAATCAATGTGTGGAAAATTTTGTAGTTTATCTGATGATTTGTTAGAATTTAGTGGATTTGGGGGAAGTAGTAGATACATCGGCTATTTCCATATTTTTGAATTTGGTAAATTGATAGCTGGGATCGTGGGATTAAGAGAATACTGATGGATTTTGAGGTAAATCCTCCGTTATCATACAAATCCCTTTTCTTCCTTTTTAAGCGCCGCAGGCGAAAATTTTGATAAACTTGGAGGTCCTTAAGTCAGATTTCTTCCACTGACAGCGCCGCAGGCGAAAATTTTGAAAATTTTGGAAGGCCGTAGGCCAAAAAAAATTTTGAAAATTTTGGAAGGCCGTAGGCCAAAAAATTCACTTTTTAGCGCCGCAGGCGAAAATTTTTTGTAATTTTGGAAGCAAATGAAGCCAAATTTCTTCAATTTTCAGCACTGCAGGCGAAAAGTTTGGGAATTTTGGAAGATTAGACTACCAGATGTTCCTTTTCCAGCGCCGCAGGCGAAAATTTTGGGAATTTTCGAAGCCTAGGCTACCAGATTTGTTCATTTTCCAGCGCCGCAGGCGAAAATTTTGAGAAATTTGGAAGGTCATTGGGCAAGATTTCTTACTTTTTCCCTAATTCTAGGATCCGAACCGAAAATTTCGGATATCCGGATCCGGATCCGATATCCGAACCGAAAATTTCGGATATCCGGATCCGGATCCGATATCCGAACCGAAAATTTCGGATATCCGGATCCGGATCCGATATCCGAACCGAAAATTTCGGATATCCGGATCCGGATCCGGTATCCGAACCGAAAATTTCCGGATATCCGGCCTTTTTTCGGATCCGGATATCCGGATCCGCCAACCTTACTGTAAAATACTCCTTCATTAAGAAAGATTTTCATTGCCCACAAGTTACACTCAAATAGGTCCAACTCTCTTTACTTTCCTTTAGCAAGAATACAAATCAAATCCGGCTGAATTTACATAAAGTTTCGTACAAGTTTTCTTTATTTTTTCATTTCTAGCTTACTCAAAATTTTTCAAAATTTATACCAATCACATTTTTGTTGAAAAAGCTTGCTAAATTTGTTATATTTTAGGGAATCCATGATCTCAAGTTTGAACAAGAAAATGAAATTAAAAATTTGAAAAAGGATTTCCAAAAATTAACTGAAGAAAATAATGAATTGAAAGTTGAAAATGACCAAAAAATTAATTTTTTGGAAGAAAAAATTAAAAAGGTAATTAATTTAATTTTTAACAGAAAAATTTTTTTTTAGAGCAACTAGTAAATTTTAATTTTAAATTTGTAAATTTTCAGATCAGATCGGTTCTCCTTTCATTAGTTTTTCAAAAGTATCCTCCTCTTTTATAAGTCCATAAAAAAGAAACATTAAAAATATCTACAAAGGTTATAGTTTTTTAACCTTTTGTACATTAGCCTACAAAATAACCGAAAAATAAAATTGTAACCGGTCTCTCTAAACTTAATATATTTTCAGGGTCTCCAAAAAATAAAGTCTGAAAATGAAAATAAAATTAAAAGTTTAAAACAAGAAATTCAACAATTAAAAACTGGAAGTGATCGGCCTGGACAAGTGGAGGAATTGACTGAAGCAAGGAATGAGATCCGTGAGTTGGAAGATAAATGTGGTACTTTATTCAAACGTTGTGAAAAAATGAGAGAACATTGTGTTCGTCTTATAAATGTAAAAAAGTTTTTCTAAAATTAAAAGAAATCCTTTTAGAGTGAAAATGAATTAAAAAATAATCTTGCTGAGGAAGCTACAAAATATGAAGAATTGAGAGAAACTGCTGATTCTCAATTAAATCAGTTAATTTTTATTTAAAAATTAAAAAAATAAATTAAATTTTAGAGCAAATCTAGAAATTCAAAAAATTAAAAAAGAACACGAAGAAAATACTTTAGGGCTTAAATATCGTTTAAAAATGAAGGAAACACAAATACAAACTTTGAATTCGACAATTCAAGGAAAGGTTAAGAAAATTTGTAATTAAAGAAAAGTTTTATTAGAAACATTCAAGGGATTTCTAAGGCTGAAGACTACTCTTTAAAATAATTTTTAACCCACTAAGTAAGGGAGGGTATGGGTAATATTTAACCGGAAAGACTCCTTTATTCCTTCCCAAATCTTCCCCTATATTTTTCCCCCTTTTACTTGTTTTTGGCATGTATACTTTAACTTGTATAAAATTATATAATCCTTTTTTGTCTGATTGTGGACAAAAATTAGAAAGGCAAATTTGTATGGAGAAAGGAAAAAGTCTAACAATTTTGCAAAATATAGAGGAAAGATTGGGGAGGAAAAAATGGGGGCCTGATCGGTTCTTGGTAATTCTTCGGTTTTCGCCCCCCCCCTCCTTTTTCGTTCCTCAAAGTATTACAAAATGGTCAGTCAATCTTAAGTTATAGAACTCGTAAAGCTGTGTCGAATGACACCAAAATAAAAAAAAATCCGACTTGATTGGACCCAAATACAGACCCCTGAAAATTGAACTACCATAGGGGGCGAAAACCATAAGGACGAAAATTTGTACAAATGATAGCTCATTCGAAAGAGCTCGTCGAGCTGAGTCGCTGACACCAAAATCAACGTGATTGGACATGGTTTGACAAAGTTATGACATAAGTCGTCGACTCCGTTTGGTCTACATAATGTCATAACTTTGTCAAATCATGTCCAATCATATCGAATTTAGTGTCATTCGACTCAGCTCGACAAGCTCTTTCGAATGAGCTTTCATTCCATAAACTTTTTTTTATTTCAGAAAATCACCCCTGTGGTTGTTCAATTTTCACGGGTCTGTATTTGGGTCCAATCAAGTCGGATTTTTTTTATTTTGGTGTCATTCGACTCAGCTCGACGAGTTCTATAACTTAAGATTGACTGACCATTTTTTAATACTTTGAGGAACGAAAAAGGGGGGGGGGCGAAAACCGAAGAATTACCCGGTTCTTACCAGAATATATGCTTAACAAAACTAAGTTTCCCATTATAAAAACTTGGGGATGGTTTTACTTTTTACTTAAAGACCTCTAAAAATATAAATTATTAGGATAAAGAAATTGATGAATTAAATAAAATGGTTGAAGAACTTATGGAAAAGAATGGAATTTCTCAAGCTGGGGATGATCCTGAAGATTGTGGAAGTATGCTTTCTACTTCTGATTATGATTGGAAATTAAATTTAATATAATGACATATAATTTTTTAAAATTGTATTTAAAGTCTTAAATTTGATTTCGTTTATGAGGATTTTTAAAATATGTAATACATTTTAATTTTTAAATTTCCGCTTTTAATCAAAAATAAACTCAAATCTCGGGACTCAAATCTAAATAAAATTAGAATATTATTTTAATTATGTAGACTTTATCAAACATTAAGAAAATTTACGAAATGGGTAGTTGTTGGTGCCTTTTTTGGTCCGTGAATATTATACACTCAGAAAATTATAAGCACCACGAAGCTTTTAAGTAAAAAACATTTTAAGTCAAAAACATTTTAAAAGCATTTAAGGAATTTTAAGTTCAATTTTTTTAAGTTCAATTTTTTATTTAATAACTTTATAAATCTCTGTTAAAAACAATTCTTTAAGAATATTTGTGTGGAGGATTTTTTAAATCAAATAATTTAAAAATTTGTGGTCTAAAAATATTTTTTAAAATTATTATGGAAAACTAAAAATTTATTTTCAATTTTTTGTCTTTTATCAACCAAAAGATAGTTTTAATAAAAAAATATATATTTTTAGCACCACAATTGTAAATTTACAAAATTTAATTTAAATCAATTTCAATTTAATACATTTCGCCCCCGTTTTGGCGCATAACCAAATCAACAATACAATTATTTCCAATTTTGTAATGGCTGAGTTTATCTAAAATTATTTTTTGAATTAAAATAAAAATTTGTTTTTTTAAAAATAAATATAAATTTACAATTGTCTTTGAGTAGTTGACCGGAATAAATCTAAAATATATCTCTTAATTCAGTTTATTGTAATCATTATCTCTTAAATACTTATTAGGGTTATTCCACGCCCCCCCCCTCCCCTGTAAAAAAGAAAATTCACCCCCCGTGGCGCTGTCGTTCCCTGCCCCCCCCCCCCGTCGGGAGCAACCCTAGTACTTATACATTCTTTTTCCAACCCCCTCTAGTATAATTTGTTGATTAAAATGTTTATCTGATTAGATATCAAAAGAAATACTTTTTTAAGAGAAAACACTACTAAAACCACATTTCTCTTACCAAACGCTGTTCTTCAACTGTTTGACCTTTACGCTCATAAACTTTGTTCTTCATATCCAAAATAGTATTGTTCGGCTTAATTTAAATATTTATTTCAAATATTTTTTACAATTTAATCTCACTTGCATTTCCAAAGTAAATTTACTGTTATTCAAGTCTCTGACAAGTACTTGTATTTTTGCGTTCAGTAACTGAAAAAATTAAATGAACGAGAAAATTAACCCAATGAATATTTGACGGGCTGTTTAAATTTTATTTATTTTTTTTTATTTATTCCAAGTTTATTTTTTTTAATAATTTCAAAGTTCAAAATTCGGTTAATTGTCTGTTAGATGAATTAACCCCCAATTTTATTAAATTATAACTCACAGTCGGAGTTCGTATAACCACATTACTCGTACTTTCAGTAAACTCATCATCATCGGATTCCTGCGAATCATCACCCGCTTCTTCAATAAAAAGTTGCTTAATATCATCCAAAGTAGCATGAGTTCGGCAACGGGGACAGGTTTCTGACTAGAAATGTTAAAAATAAAATTTGGAAATTTGTATATGTTAATAAAGTTTTGCAGTTTAAAAATTGTAAGCTAAATTGTGACTCTTGCAAAAATTGGGGATTTATTAAAAGTTAAAAGACGCAGATGAATAGTATAGGAATGAAAGTTTGATCTCTAATTAAGTGAATCTTAAATAGCCTAATTGTCAACCTAAAAAATTAATTTTAAATTGAGGTAGGTGTATCTAGTATTAGGTGTACCTTATAATGTTATCCAGTCACTTAACAAAATTTTAAATAAATTTCCTCACCCCTCCTTCAATCCAACGAGTAATACAATTTTTATGGTATGTGTGATTACAATTTTTCAAAGTATAAATATTGCCAGGACTCAAACGAGTATGGCAAATAGTACATTTACCAAGTCGGAAATAAACCATTTTTTAGACTTGGAGTAAATTGAAATTTTTTAAATTTAATGGAAATATCTTTGAAAATGAAATAAAAGTAAAATAATTTAATTTTAAAAATTTATAATCGGAAAAGAATGAAAAGAAAATGTTCTAAAAGGTGTAAATAAACAAAAAATGTATAATTTAAATAAAAATTTAAACAAAATATTAAGCTCCTCCCCCTTTTAAATATCTCACTCATTTTATCTCTCCCTTTTTTTGCAAAAAAATTTAAATAAAAAATAAAGGTCATATTTTTCTTTCTTTCAAATACTAAAACATTAAGTTTATTTAAAATTTTATGATCAAAATGCATTTTACAGCAAACTTTGAATTTATGTATAAAATATCCTTGTGTCTTCTTTTAATAAATACTGAAGGGACTAGCGCTACAGGCGAAACGTCTTGGATTTTTGAGTAAATTGATATAGACCAAAAGTGGCTAGGATTTGACTAAAATGGTCTGTGAATGTTGGGGACGACCAGACCTACAAAACGAAGAAAACGAAAAAAAACATAGACGCCAAACAAAATTTTATTTAACAAATTCAAAAAAATATTTTAAAAATTGATAATTTAAATTGATAAAAGTAAATCAAAAAATAAAATAAATCGGAAAAAAATCAACTAAATTCTTTAGAACTAAATGCTTCGAAATATCATATTTGAAAGGTTTAGTTTCCAAATCGTTCCCAAAATTAGCTTCAACTGAACAACATGTTTGGTAAATAAATGGTTTATATGAGTTGTAATTGTCCAATAATAACGTAGCTAAACCTTAAAAATATTTAATTGAATAATTTTAATTAATGAGGGTAGTCAAATTGTGGCATAAAATTGTTAAAGTAATTTAGGAACCGATTTCTAATATTTGCACATCGGTGCATATTTTGGGAAATTTTGCATATTTTTGAGCATATTTCGGGCTTATTCGTGTTTCGGATCTTCCTTGGATATTTTGCACAACTCCATTTTAAATATTTACCAATTTGTTTTCCATTTTGTGTAAAAAATACATAAGGAAATTCATTAGCTGGAGGATAAACTAATCCACAACCAAGGACATCACCATCATTGAACTCTGTTAAAAGTTTAAATTTTTCCCATCTATCAGTTAAAAGTGTAGCATCCTTCGTAGAATACCAAATAAGTCTCTTTGTACTTAAATTTTCAAGTCCGATAACCATCCATGTTTTGCCACTATTTAACTCTCTTTCAAATTTACATTTAATTTCAAAATAATATAAAGAATGATTGAGACTATTTTCGGGGTTGTAGAATGCTTTTTTTGCATAAATGAAAACACAATGATCGTAACCTAAAAATGTATTTTTAATTCAAAAAGTCTATAATCGGTGTCAACCCTGAACCCACACACCGAAGACCTATTGACACTGAAAACCCAAAACTTTTAAAGAGAATATTGAGGGATTTAGAGTGATTCGGATAGAAACCCGAACTCAGAGTGGTTAACTGACACAACACCGTATCATAAGTTCTAAAATTCAGAACTTGGTATTTATAATATCTGCTTATCTCCATAGGGCAGGGTATTTATCCCCCTTAACCCCTTTATATTCCCTTTTAAAAGTTGTAGGTTTTCAAGGTCAATGCTTCAGGGGTTATTCTATTAATTTACCTCCTTTCTCATCCAGAGCATTAATATATTTAATATTTTCATCATCAATTAATTTTCCAAATCCATTTCCTTCAATACATTTAACAAGAGGTTTTCTTGTATTACAATACTTTTTGCAGCAATTAGTATATCCACGACGAAATATACCCCATTTATTTTTAATTTTAACAAAATTCTTTTAAAAAATTATTTAATAATTTAATTTTATTTAATTTAACAAACTAACCACATAATAATAAAAATTCAAATTATTTAATTTAATTAAATCGCCAAAAATTTTATCATACGAATCACTTGCCTTTTTATAAATAAAATTTTAATTAATTTTAATAAATACATTTTTTAAATTTTAATTCTAACAAAAGATTTGAGAGATAAAGGATTGAGGGATAATTAATTGAAATCGATTGGGGAATGAGTGATATAAGGTGAGAGAAAGAATTGAATAATAAATCAAAATAAATAAAATCCATCGATAATACACCGATATCTTCCCAAAATCCCTTGAATTCCCTGATTACCACCTAATACATGATATCTTCCTTATTTCCTAACTTTCTAAATTACAATCCATCTCCAGCTAATTTAAATTCTCTGATATCCCCTTCCACTCCTAACCACTGATATCAGGGCCTAATCCCTCCAAAGACCAGATACACATCCAAATCCACATGCATCCGTAAACTTCTACCTTTTTCGTCGTTTTTTAATCCAGCGTGAGGGTGGAAAAATAAAAACGGAACCCTAAATCTTGGTTTTTCGGTTCGGTTGGTTTGACTCTAGTGCAGAGTAATGGGTATCTTGTATTTCCGGTTCAGAAAAGGTAATTTTAAAAAATTACCTTTTTAATTTCTTCCTCCAAATAATTAATATTCTCACACTTTTGTTTTAAAAAATTATTATTTCTAGCTTTTGATTTTTTAATATTTTCTTCAATTAATTTTTGAAAATTATGTTTAATTACATCAATTTCATTTTTATTATCAAAATTTGTTTTTTGAATTTTCTAAAAATATTTAATAAAAATTTAATAAAAATAGCCAAACTTTCAATTCATTTTCAAGAAAAACATTTTTCTTTTCTAAATTAACAGTCTTTTCTTTCACTTCAACAAATGTTATTTGAAGATTTTGAATTTTAGCTTCAAGTTTAATAAAATCATTTATCTCTTTTTCAATCAAAATCCAATCAGACTCTGATGACGATAACCCTTCTTCAGACATTTTGTAGAGAATTTGTAATTAAAAATAGAAAGAATTAAAATAAAATAACAAAATCTGTTGAAATAAATTTTATGTTAAAGCTCCCTGTATATGCTGAAATAATTACTCTGGTTAATTATTGTTTCAATTTTTTCTGGATGGAGTGATTAATAGGGCGGGAGGAATATTGAGCTAATAGGACGGAAGGTCAATATTCACTTAATCCTCACAAATCCCCCGAAATAATATTATCCATTGATATTCCACGCAGAGCCAATATGGAGCTGCTCCGGAGCCAATAATTTGAAAACCCCGGAGCCAACAAATGCCCAATAGTTTTTAGTAAAATTATTTTAAAATACTGTTTTACAAAAATTACTCGATTACTCGAGCTCGTGTTTTTACCATTTACTCGGTACTCGACGTACTCTAGTTCTTGGTACCGTTTGACAGAGACTTAAAAGCACTTTAACATATCAAAATTTTCGACTCTGATAAAAAAGTTGCTAAGCTGAAAACTAACTTTAAAAAGTTTTGATTTTTCGGCGCTTTATCGATCATAACTTTTTTCGTAGTATCTTGTAGTGTATTTAATTCTCTATCAAATTGTAGCAGAAACATTAAAAAGTTTTGGGCTCGGAACGCAAACGGATCTGGAATCAACTTCGGTGTACCGAAAAGCAAGGAAAATAAATAACATGAAACAATTACCTATATATAAGGACTAGGAAGGGCGGTAAGATAAAAGAACAGAAGGAAAATGTATTTGATGATCAAAGGAATTAGAGGTTTGAAGGGCAACAATTTAAATAAGATCAAAGGGAGAATATTTGAAAGTTGGAATGAGGGAATAATTTGAATTCGTAAAGAAATGGGCAAAAATTGATGAAACGTAAAACATTGAAATCATTAAAATATATTTAAATTACGGATATATTATAAAATAAAAGATAACAAATTGTTTTGAGGAACTTTAAATTATTTTGAAGTTTTAGTAAGCAACATTGATATTCTTTAAATAAAGCTCAAATGAGATTTAATACAAACTGTATTTTTTAATAGCGGCCGACAGCTTTATATTTCAATCGCTAATTAAAAGGGTAATCAGATCTAGGAATTAGTTTTCTCATCCTTTTGCTTTTTTTAAAATGTATTTGATAAATAAAATGAATTAGAGGAATACACACTATTTTCATCTTTTAATTTTTGAAATCTCTTTTCAATTTTAATTGTTCGCAATTTTGTTTCATTTCTTTAGATCTAATTCCATTCTCCAAAAATATTCTTAAAATTACGAAAAGTAAAAATAGAGATTGAATTTTTATTTGTCTGACAGATACATACATAAATCAAATTATATAATCAATGGCCACCTACTTCCTGATTCATAATTTGTACACCGGGAAATCTAAATTTTGAAAGATTCGGAAATCCTGAAGCAAGTAATTGCCTTATACCTTGGGAGAGCACTATTTGAGCGTATACTGTATTTATATTTAAAATATTCCCTCAACAAACAAATAATTACTTTTTTCCTCAACAAATATTCACAATAAAACTGTCTGGGTAAAAGAAACTTCAATATATGAATTTATATTTTTTTATTCATTTACTTTATCATTTTTCTCCAAAAAATTAAATTCTTGATTAAGAAAAAAATTTAAAATTAATTATTATTTTGTACATTTAACTTAATTATACATTTATTTAATTTAAATTAAATGCCGCTCAATAGGTTCTACTTTACGGGCTCAAATTTTTCACACGCAGAGCTGAGTACCTATTGCCACAGATTTGAGGGCAAAAGGTAATAGTTTGGAATTCGCCCCCCTTTTTTTCCTTTCTATATTTTCCTAGTTTTTTCTCATTTTATTGCAAATCATATATCATTCGAAAGAGCTCTTCGAGCTGAGTCGAATGACACTAAAATCAACGAAATCCGACTTAAGTGAACAAAGTTGTGACCGTTTATTTTATCCCCTTGCATTGGCACAAAAAGTTTACCCAAATAGGATTTAGCTTCATAATTTTGGTAAGTATGATCAGATCTAGCCAATCATGGTATCATTCGACCAAGCTCGAAGAGCTCTTTCGAATGATATATGATAAATTATGTATCAAACAAAAAAGCTCAAAATGGTCAGGGA